GTCTTCTGCCCCAGGCTGATGGAGGCCCTGAGCAGCTTCCTGCCTACAGGGGGCGCCAGGGTCCCAGAGGACTGACCTACAGATGGCTGGACCCTGTTTCTTAGGGCCCAGGGCTGCAGTTCTCTGGCCATAGAGAACCTGAAACTTATGGGGTGAGATCCCTGTCCTGTGAGGCTCCTGGCTTGGTCCTGGTCTTTGCTTGAGCAGTTGAAGGCCATGTCTACCTGGACAAGAAGGCTGTGGGTGACATGTAGGGGAAACTGTGGGTGCTGGGGACCCACAGGTTCTGCTGGGAAGGCACAATGTGGCTCTTGGTACAGAATGACCCTGCTGATCTGTGTCCTCCAGCCCCACCGACTCCCCCGGCCTGGCCCCTGCACCTGCTATTCTCTTCTGGCCAGAGTGTGCTCTTTTCACCCTGGAGTCTGGCCGGAGTCTCCCAGCCTCTTCTGTAGGATCTGGCCTTCAGGAGCCGGGCACTGCTTGTGTCTGGGGTTGGTGGTCATCTGATGCAAAGATCCTCATCTATTCTCTCCTTCCTCACCAGCCTTGGCAGGGTGGAGGTGGGGGGCAAAGAGGAGGTGAAGGTGGCAAAGGGGAAAGATGGTAAGGTGGGAGGCAGAAGGGGAACAGGACTCACCCCTGCCCCCCACCCCTGTCCCCCTCCCCCGTTTATCCCTGCAGCCCTCCCCCCAGGCCCCTCATCTCTCAGGGCCTCTGAACTCTTTCCCTTGAAGCTGAGGGAAGCCCTGGAAAAGCCCTTTCCCACGGTCACAGCCTCAGCAACTCTACCCCTTCTCCTTTGGCCATGGCTATCCCAGACTGGTCCCCCGTGGAGTGCGCCCACCCCACCACTGAAGGGCTCCCCTCCTTGGCCGGAGCACCAGCTGCAGTCCGTGGCATCATCACCCCACCCCTCAGGCTGCCCAGTCATCAGGTCAGCAATTAGCTACTTCCTCCCAGCCACATGAGGCCACCAAACGTCACGGCCCCTCCTCCTGCTGCTGCCAGCGGGAGTGCTGGGGGTGCCCCTGTCCTTTGTAGTCAGTGCCAAGTCCTGGCCCGACACCCCCTCCCACAACCTACTGAGAGCCGGGGTAATGAGCTGCCATCTAGGGAACGGGAAGCTGAGCGGCTGCCTCCTCCCCTGTGTCACCCCATCCCATCGCCTGGGTGGGGCGATGCCAGCTCAAGGGCATGGGCCCAGCCTGGGCAGAGCTTGAGACTCAGGTGTCTCTGGCTCCAGTTGYGGGCGGTTTTCGCCAGGCCCTCACCTGGGGCCCGGGAGTCTGTGAGTGAAGGAGCAGTTATCTGGGAAGGGAGAAAAATGGAGTCACTCTACAGATGTCCAGACATGCAGCAGGTGGGCTCCGCACGAACACCCTCGGGGGCTCTCATGCCTGCACCTAGGACACTCACAGGTACAAGCTGTGCATTGTCCTTCCCATGGGCGCTCCACCCACAGGTGTGCCTGGTGGGAAAGTAAGCCCACGGGGGTGCATCCTCAGGTCAGATGTATATTCTGATCCAGCCACACTCAGAGGCAGGGGGCTTGCCACACCATTCCAAAACCAGGACCCCTGCAGAGGAACCAGGAGCAGGGAGGGGCCAGGGTCCCCCCAGCACCTCCCACCTAGACCTTCCTGGGGGCAGTTGGGAGCTACACTGCATTTGCAGGTCTGTGTGTGGAGGGTGGCTGGACTGTGGTCTGTGTGGGGGGTGGGGGGAGGCTATTATTTCCAGAGAGAATTAAACACAAATGTGTACTTGTAGGTAGATCGCTCAACTCCTCAAGCCCTCAGTGATTGCATCTGTGCAGTGGGGATTGTAGAATCCCCTTGAACTTGGCTGTGAAGTTGAAATGAGACAACCTGGCTCAGAGCAGTAATGTGCAGGCTGGCATTACTGTTGGGGACCCTCCCAATATCCAGTTGCTTAGTGGTAAGTTTGCCTAAAAGAGCTGCCTGGGGAGATAAGCAGCCCTTGGTCTTGCATTTTACCTGTGTCCTCGCCCCTGTCTTTCTTTGATTTCTGGAGTCCAGCCCCAGCCAAGATGCAGGACACAGGTTGAGAGGTGTGGCAGGGTGCAGGTGGGGGTGTGATTGGATGCTACTCCCTATTGGTTTGAGGGTGGGGCACAGGAGGGGCTGGCTACCTGTACCACCCCTACTTGGCTGGCACATCAGGTCACCAGTGTTGGCTTTTAGCCCTGGGAAGGATGACTCAGCCAGAGCCTCCCTGACCAGGCAAATGGGTGCAAGGGATAGGAGCTTGGGTGGAGGGGCCTTCTAGGAATGTTCCTGAAAGGGGATCTGGGAACAGGCACTGCTGTGGGGAGCTACCACCCTCACCCCAGCGCAACAAGCACTCCCGCCCTTGTTTTTCCAGAATCAGCCTCTACTGCTGACTGGATTCCCGAGGCAGGACCCCTGCTTGCCCCCCTCGCTGGTCCCAGGTATGCCACCATCCTGCAATGTCACTTTTCTCAGTTTAACCAGCATCATTTCTGAGCTATGTTCCAAGTTCTGAAGCAGAACACACACACACACACACACACACACACACACACATGCACACACATGCACACACTCAGGACCCCTTGGGCACAGTGCATGCACACTCCCAAACATGCAGTCATTACTGTTGTGGGTTGTACACTCCCCACCCCCAAAGATCTGTTGGAGTGATAATCCCCAGTACCTGGGAATGTGACCTTATTTGGAAATAGGTTCTTTGTAGATGTAATCAAGTTAAAAATGAGATCTCACTGGATTAGAGTGGACTCTAAACCCAATGACTGGTGTCCTTTTAAGGAGAAAGATTTGGAGACACAAAGACAGGGAGACTCACAGGGAAGGTGGACCTGTGGGAAAGTTGCAGAGACTGAGGGGCTGCAGCCACGAGCCAAGAGACACCAAGGACTGCTGGCAGCCACCAGGAGCTAGGAYTGAGGAGAAGGACAGAGTCTCCTTCAGTGCCTGAAGGAAACCCACCAATCCTGCCACACCTTGATCTCCGGCTTCTGGCCTCCTTATCTGTGAGAGCCCACATTTCTGTTGTGTTTATGCCGTGGGGTGAGTGGTAATTTTTATATCAGCCCTAGAAAACATTCTGCACACACAAGTACACACACTGGATTGCTCCAGGCCTGGGGGTGATATCTGTGGAATTCCCCTTGGGGGCCACTCTGTCTCTATCCTCCTTCCCTTGTCGATGGTCCATCAGATCCAAAAAAAAAGAAAGTAATTTTTTTTTTTTTTTTTTTTTTGGTACTAGGGATTGAAGCCAGAGGACTTTACCACTGAGACACATCCCCAGCCCTTTTAATTTTCTTTCTTTTTAATTTTGAGACAGGGTCTCACTAAGTTGCGTCTGTCCTTGCTAAGTTGCTGAGGCTGGCCTTGAATTTGCTCTCCTCCTGCCTCAGCCTCCCGAGTTGCTGGAATCCCAGGTGTGCACCACCACGCCTGGCTAACACTTAGTAATTTTAAAATCCCTCTTTATCTTCCCAGATTTTTTGAGCAGACGTCTCCCTCAAAATCTACTCTTAAAGCTGTGTTGTCATGTTTCTGTACAGCAAAAGATAAGTATGAAGAATGCCACAGCTTTCATCATATTAGTCAAAAATAGGAAAATCCCAAGTGTCCATCGATGGCAGAATAGATTCATAAATGCTGGTGCATCCACTCAAGGGAATGCTGCTCAGCMGTGGAAGAGGAGAGAGGGTGACATGAGCAACATGGATGAGCTCAGGGACAGCGTTGAGCAGCATGAGGCAGGCACAAAAGGGCACATACCCACGATCCACTTAGAATAGAATAGGTAACACAGAACTATGGGGGTAAAAGGAATCCCAGTGGTCCCCTGGCCCAGGGGATGGAATTGACTGACCAGCTCAGGAAGCCTCTGAGAGCGCTGGAGGAATCCCGTGTTGGATTTTGGTACATAGGTGGATACATCATAAAAATCCACTCCACTGCGCCCTTAAGGTTTGCTCAACTTGATGGAGAAATCTGATACCTCCATAAGAAATAAAAATGAAAACCTGGGGAAGTCAAGGATTAAAAACCACTGGGCAGTGTTTTCTGGGGGGCATTTGCAACTCAAGTCTGACTCCTTGGATCAGGGAGAGGCTCAGTCCCTGGGGCCAAACTTGTGGCACCGATCAGTGGATGGGAGGAAACGCCACTCTTCAGCAGAGACTGGCTGGATACACATGTGCACGCACACCTCCTGCACCACAGGGTGCAAGCTTCAGTGGGTATGTCCCTCGGGTCCTACGAAGCCAGGCCTGAGGCTGCTGAATTCCCTCAGGCCAACAGACAAGAGTTGCAAGGTGGCAGGTATCTGCCACAGGGACATTTTTTTTGGTACCAGGGATTGAACCCAGGGGCTCTTAACCGCTGAGCCACGCCCTCCTTTAAATATTTTATTTAGAGACAGGGTCTCACTGAGTTGCTTAGGGCCTCATTAATTTGCTGAGGCTGGCTTTGAACCTGAGATCCTCCTGCCTCAGCCTCCTGAGCTGCTGGGATTACAGACATGTGCCACTGCACCTGGCTTGGTGACAGCGACCTTGCTTTTCCCACTCTCTCCATATCCCTGGAGTGAACTGCCTGACATGGGTGTTATAGGGCCTGTCATGTCCCCATTTTGCACTGGTGTCCCCAGGCCTRGGCCTGTCCTATGGCTGACTTTCCTATGTTGACTGTTTAAGTCCAGCCTGGGGCCACCAGAGAGATTAGGGATGTCAGCAGCTTGACCCTCTGGGGGCCGCTCTTTGGGGTGGGAATAGGACACAAGCAGGACCCAGCTGCAACCCGCTTCCCCACTTAACCACCAAATGCAGTGGTTTCTTTCTGAAAACAAAATCAAAAGCCCAGCTGAAAAAGAACAGTGACCTCCTACTCAGTTTTTCCGGTCCAACAGGCGTGCACCAAGCACTTTGAGGTCTGTGGCCTGTTACCATTTCACAGACAGGAAAACGGAGGCTTCGAGGAACTGAGTAAAACCTCAGGGTCACACAGGAAATTCAGCAGGGGGTGAGTGCACGCTGGCTCCATCAGACTGGGGCTCTCTGCGAGCATGGCTGTCTCCCCCTGGGGCGTGGAGGAATTTCTCTATAGGAGAGGATTAGAGGAGGAGCTGACCTTGAATGTGTCCTTCATAGCGATCTCACTGATCTGCAGTGGCCAGGAGGGGGCTGCTGGCCCTGGCTGCCCCTGCTCCTTATTACCTTAAGGTTAACCCTAAGCTGAGCCCAGGGCTCACCTCATAGGTAGGCGAGCCACAGTTAGGGACCATGGTTCTGGGGACAGGGAGGTGGAGGGAAGCGTAGGAACCAAAGAAGCCATCCCTTTGGTGACTCTGCTGGAATCAGTGRGGGGAGACTCTTGCTCAGGGTCACCCAGCTGAGCCACGCCATAGCCACACTGAGCACACGTGGTCTGGACCCTGCCTCTTCCCAGGAGGATAGTCTGAGTGAAAGGCACCATTTGAGGATATATGGAAGGGACAGAGTGCAGGGTGGCCCCAGCAAAGCTCGGGACCAGGTGCTTCTTTCTCTGCCCATGCCTTACCAGCAGGAGCTGGGTCATATGATGGGGGCGAGGTGGCAGGTGTAATGGGAGATGACAGCCTCCAGGCCAGCCCCTCCACCATATTAAGTCTGTGCCCCTAGCTTCACTTCCCCCACCCTCRGGACAGGGTTCCTGCACTGCGGGCCAAGGAGTCGTCCCTGCTGCCCAACCCCACTGTTCTGGGAAAGGGGCAGGGGCCTAATGAGGTCAGGGCTAGCGGGTGGGGGAACTGAGGAAGTGCATTTAGGCTTGGGGTGCTAATGAGCTGCAGAGGAGGTGCTGGGAGGGCTTTYGCACCCTCACACTCTGCCGTCCCCTCCAGCCTCCCACGCACCACCTAGGGCCTCACAAGGGCACATGGAGAGTGTGCTTACTGGCAGCTGAGACTCGGGTCTAACTCCCAGCAAAACTTGCACCAGACAGCCTCGGGGGTTCTTGGGAATCCAACGTCATCCTTAGAACCTCTCAGGAGCTCACATCTGCACACCCCGCAGTGAGTGCTGGCATCCATGTGGCTTGCACCCCTGTGCCCCCACAGGCACCCACCCACCAGCTTGCCATGTCCCCTAAGGCGATGATTGAAGCAGAGGAGCCCTGGAGCTTCAGGGGATGCAGAGTGCATTCTGGGAGTCCAGGGCCTTTGCACCCCCTACCTAGATCTAAAGGCACAGTCCCCGGGATCCCTGCTGGTGGGACTCACCACCCCTGGGGGGCAGGAGCCCCCTCCCCAAGCCCTGCCTCTCCCCGGGGTGCGGGGTGAGGGYGGGGCAGGCCCAGGGTTTATTAATAAACTCGCTCCTGACTGGAAAGGCCTCTGCAGAAGCCTCCACYTCAAGCCAATCAGAGCAGAACTTTCCAGGAATGTCCCCCCCAAGCAAGCCTGCCTCTGACTCCAGGATTATTTCCCACCCCTGACTTCATCCCCTTGGTGTGTGTGGCTCCCGCCAGGCTCCACTGGCTCTGCRGGCAGGCCTGCTGTCACCTGGCAGCTGACATCTACCTTGGCCACCGCCCAGAGAAGGTCATGCCGCACATGGGTGGTAGGGCCAGGATTAGATCTGCTTCCTCTGTCATCCAGGCCTGCTCCTCCTCGCCACGCACACAGAGGCCACTGTGGGRACAGGCGATGCCCTGGACCTCACCCCCATGGGAGGAAGCTGAGAACCCTGGCCCTGAAGGCAGAGCGCCTGGCTCACTCAGCTTTCTGCTGCTTCCTTGTGACCTTGTGACCTCAAACAAGCAGGATTTGACTAATTTGTGGCTCAATGTCATCATCTGTAAAATGAGGGTAAAAATGGTCACCCAAAGAAAGACAGCCGCGGGATTAAGAGTATGTGATGCTGGCGGGGCGGTCCAGGGCTGTCGGGAGTGGGAAGTGAATGGTGTTCTGGCCTCTGTCACTAATTCCTGTCTCATCTTCATCACCACTGCCACTGTCACTACCTCCTCCAGCCCTGACCTCACTCCCAGCCCCATCACATCACTCCCTCCTCAGCCAGCCTTCCCCTAGGACTAGCTGTTATCACTGTTCAATCATCCCAAGAACACTGTTCCKCTGCTGGGTTCAAGGTCATGTGAGTGACCCTTTGGAGATGAGTTCTGCACCAGCTACAGTTACTGTCATTATTATTATCATCAGTCCCCCTCCTGCCTGTGTTTGGCACAGAACTTTGTCCTGCCAATGGATGAAAACACCAATGGACACACTCCCACTTTCCAACAAGAGCATTTTGCAGGGAAGGAGGGTGACTCTGGCCTTCTCCTGGATAGCATCCTTGCTTGCCAGGTGAGAGGTGGGTGGGAAGGACCCTGCAGGGAAGTCAGATGTCACTGATGTCACTTGCTGAGCACCTGTGGGAGGGTTACTTCCCTACCTCTGTGGAGTGACTCTGCCTCACTCTCCCCATCTGTCAAATGGATCACTGTGCCGGCCACCGTGAGGCTAGCAGAACTGTTGGTCAATAATCTTGAACTCAAGCACCACAGAGATGTCGGGGCAGGGCTCAGGGCCAGTGTAGCCTTTGGGCTTCCTCCCTCTGGGGCAGACAATGGACAGTTTGGCCCAGCCCGCTCCTCAGAGTCAGCAGGGAAGATGCTGGGTGGGAGGAAGTTCTCAAAAAAGTCCAGCACCCTGGACAAGTTCCAGGGGCAGCATTAGTAATGATTAAGCCAGACTAGGCCCAGCTTGGCCTGGCCCAGAGCGTGCACTGGGGTCTGAGTTGGACTCCCAGGACAGGGCTGAGGGCCAAGGGGAGGACAGCCGAGGGCGCCCACCCACCCATGGGCTTAGGGAGGCCGCTCTGTACTCGGCTCCACGTGCACGGCGGTATCATCCATGAGGCAGGATGGGACAGCTGGGACATGGTAAGACGGGGTGGCCCGGGAGGCCCACAGGCTTCCCTGGGGTCTGGGGTCCTTAGCACATGGACATCTATGCAGCTGCAACTGTCCGAGGGTCCCCCGCCCTCCTCCTATGGCGCCCTGGCCATGAACTCCCAGGGAATAAACAGGGCCTCCGCCGACCGACTGCTGTATACTCCTGGCCCCTGCAGTGTAAACTCTGGGACGTATTTATGTTGTCTGGGCCTGGCCTGGGTCCCCTGCCCAGCTCACAAGGGTCACACACCATGACAGATGTCACACGTGCAAGGCATCTGGGTTCCTCCCCACAGTGGGGGGACAGGGGAGGGAAGGGGGGTTGATAGGGGACAGGGACCAGAGCCAGCTGGAGCTGTGGCCTGAGGTGGGGGGTCAGAGCTGAAGAAGCGGCAAAGTGCCTTCACCCAGCCTTCACTGTCCCCTGTTCCTAGAATTGGAGGCAAGTCTCCTAGGAGATCCCTGGCCCAGCCAGTGACCTGGGTCACTCTGAAGCCTTCCAGGGCCAATACTGGTCCTGGACTCCAGGGTCACAGGGCCTAGGGCTCTGCCCAACCCGCAGACAGCCTGAGAGTTGGCCCTCCAGACCTTTCTTTGATCTGCCTTTCTATTACCCCCACAGGCACCATGCCAAGTCTCTGGCACATATTATCTCATTTAAGCTAATGCCTGCCTGCGGGGGGTGGGGGGAACTGCTGTTTCCTCCTGACCCAGGGGGGTGAGATACAGGGCCTGAGGTGTGCGAGGCCGGAAGTGACCAGGCTGGGGTTCGAACCTGAATCTGTGGACACCGCAGCGCTACTCTATAGAGGGCCATGTCTGTGGGCGGGATGCCACAGTCGGCCCTGGGACCCAGGTCCTGTCAACTCTCTTCCCACCCCGTCAGAAACAGGGTGGTGGAGATGCGGCCCTGTCCTCGGGAGCCCCAGGCTGAGGGGGAGCCCTAGACCTTGAGCAGTCACTGACCACACCACTGGGGAGGCAGGTGGAGCCAGAGGTCTTTGCAGAGCTGAGGGAGGGACTGGCGGCCCCCCGAGGGAGGAGGACTTGGCCAAAGTGGTGGGCAGCCTCGGGTGGCCCTGGAGACGGGAGCTGAGTCCCTACACTGTCCTGATAAGGAAACAAGGCTCATCTCTGCTCCCCCCGGGGCCCCCCTCTCCCAACTGCCATCCTGGCCCTGCCCACCGTGTCCGGGAGGGGCCCGAGGCACGTAGCCGTGTGACAGGCATGCCACTGGGCACTGAGCACGTCTCCAGGAATGACACCCAGGGAAGGCTATTTTTGTCCGGGAAGTCTCCTGCTCCTCCTGCTCACCCCAAAATAACCAGGCTGCAGGGAACTGCAAATCGTGGGCTGCCCCAGCCTCATGGGGCGCTGCGGCCCCCCGGTAACCAACTTCCTCCTCAGTCCCCTCAGATGTGGAGTCCCCACCCCAGGGCCGCCTCCTCTCTCAGACTGGGGCTCCCCGAGGGCAGAGGCTGTCTCCCTGGGTTAGGAGGCCCTGGGGTGACGGGGCTGTGTCCCCCTCTAGTAAAGACAGTGCCTCAGAGCATTCGGGTCCCTGGAGGCTGCTTTACTGTGGAATTCGGGGGGCCGGTGCCAGGTGGCCTTTCCCTCTTCCAGGCTGTCAGGAAGGGTGCCCTGGTGGAAACCAGATCTCCCTGCCTCCGCGGGCACAAGTGCGTCTTGCCGGTGGGCTCCCGCAGGGCCTGGCTGTGCTGGCAGGACCCRGCTGTCCTGCTGCAGGCCACACAGCCCCTGGTAGGAGGGTTCACATGTCCCAGCACCAGCCAGCCACCTGCTACCTCCTGCCTCCCAAAAATAGAGGCTGGCCTTCTCCCGTTACGGGCTGCACACCCCACTGCCCTTGTCCCCAGCTTGGGGCTCTGCCTCCTCCCTCCTCTCCTTGGTGGGGGGTGTTGAGGGGATCGACCTTCAGCCTCGCCTGCYTTCAAAGCTGGAGTCTGCATGTGACCCAAGAAAATGGTCCTGTTTGAGGGCTGGACGTGAAATGGGATGCTCCTCGTAAGGAACCCGTGTCCTTGTCCTGTTCGGAGGGCACTGTTCCCCTCGGCCTTGCTCATTCCCCAGCATCCAGTACCCTCCCTTGCCATGGAGTGGGGGGTGGAGTGTGTGGCTGCTGACCCAAGTGACGTCATTAACCTCTGCTTATTGAAAGTTGAGAAACTGAGACAGAGAGTTCGGGAATATACCCGCACACACGCACGCCAGCTTCCCYACCATCCATTTCACAAGCTGCTGCTTTTAACTGAGCACTTACTATGTCCAAACTGTGCTGGTTCTCCCCACTCATTCTCATGTTCAAGACTCAAAATATCTTCTTAACAGGGTTATAGTTGTCCTATTCAACAGTAGAGAGAGTGAAGCCCAGACAGGTTGAATACTCCCCTAAGGTCACACAGCAAGAAAAAGAAAGAGTTGGTATTCAAACCCAGGTTGGAACAATGTTTATCTTTTTCTTTTTTTTAATATACATATTTTTAGTTTTGGTTGGACACAATCCCTTGATTTTATTTATTAATTTTTATGTGGTGCTGAGGATTGAACCCCAGCGCCTGGCCCATGCTAGGTGAGTGAGCGCTCTACCACTGAGCCACAACCCCAGCTCCCTCCCCCTTTTTCTTTCTAAAAGATTTTGTGATGAGAAAATTAAAACATTCAAACAAATACTGGGGATGGCACAGTGAATCTGTGGGTACCCGTCGCCAAGATAGAGCCAAGAACATTCTGCCAGATTTTTGTGCTCAAGTATTCGTTATGACCTGTCACTCACTCCTGGTCACTTCATCATGAATCTCTAACAGGACCAAACCCCGGACTTTCTACATGATCCAGCACRTCATTCTCACACGGAGCCCCACATTTCCTACCATCCTCTAACACAGAGCTCGCGTTCAACTCCCCCAGATTGTCCCAGCACATGGAGGGATTTGGGGTAGATCTGCGCTCTTCCTTCTCTTCCCCTTGATAGAAGAAAGATTTCTAGAAAGGAGAGTTACAGRGACCCCAGGGGACATGGTAGGTGACTAAAACTGTGGGGAGACCCACAAGGGCCTCTCATCTCCTAGGATGGGGAGCATGGAGAGACGGGCGTGGGGACCTGGGAGGCCAGGGCCTGGGAGTGGGAGCTTCAGCAAGGATTTTCAGGATCTGACCCTCCTGCCGGGTGAGGGCTGTCCCCTGGGCTTGCCATCCCCTCCATAGGGCCCAAACAGGAGCCAGGGGGAGGTCAGCTTATCGCCCACCCCCCAGCCCGTCCCTCACCCCGTGGACCTGTCTTTCAGTCACCATCAGTGTCTGGGGCGTGGGAAGGCCACCCCCAGGTCACTCATGCATGGAGAGGAATGTTCCTCAGCAGAATTCAGAAGAGGCTGAGTCCTCACAAATGACAATAAAGGGGTCTGCTTGCCAGTGRCCAGTTAGGCCAGGGGTCTCTAAGCTCCCTTCCTGCCCCATGTCTGCTCTGTCCTCCCTTCTTGTGAACCGGAGGGACACTGACCAGGGCAAGAGAAGGCCCAGGTGTCCCCTCAGTCTTCTGGCCTGGGTGGGGAGTGGCGCGCTCAAGGCCAAGTCAGGCCAACCCCAGGGCYGTGGCTGGGACTCCCTGCCCAGACGGGGCTGAGAGAAGAGCCCAGGATGGAAGCGTCCAAAGGATGGGGCTGTGTCCTGCCCTCAGGAGCCCCAGTCTGAAGAGACACAGCCCCATCTTTGGGGAGCCCCAGTCTGAGGGGAGATGAGGCCCCTTCCTCAGAGAGCCCAC